GCATGCATCCATCCATCTACCCATCCATTCATCTATCCATCCATGCACACACCATGCATCCATGCATCCATCCATCCATCCATCCATCCATCCATCCATCCATGCCTCCTTTCATCTGTCCATCCATCCCACTATGGTGCTACGGGTGCCATCTATCTGTCCATCCATTCACCCTCTACCTGCCCATCCATTCATCCATGCATCCGTGCATCCATCCATGCATCCCACTACGGTGCTAAGGATGCCATCTATCTGTGCATCCATCCACCCTACTACCTGCTCATCCATCCATCCATCCATCCACCTACCCACCCACTATGGTGGATACCAGGGAAGCCATAGGAGCAGAGCAGCCCCCATGAAGCTCACCAGCTCACTTGGAGAGTTTACACATCCTCAGAGCTCTATGTGGACTAGGCCAAAAAACCTTGGTGCAATCTCAGAATTGGCAGCTTGGCCAAGACCCAAAAGTTAATCCGAACCTGGAGATTCACTGTGTAGTGATCCTTATGATTTTCTAAAAATTCTTTTCAGCCAGGAATGCATGATGTGCTGGACTATGGCCTGGACCGAGTGACTGATCCGAATGAAGTTAAGGTAAACCAGGTATGTCTCTGATGCACCCTTTGGGTAGGGCTTATGTCAGGTGCCGAGGCTGGGAAGGTGTCTGCAAGTCTGCTCAGGTCTGTTAGGGAAATGATATCCTTCCTTTAAGATGCCAGAGAGAGGGAGGACTCTGGGCTCTGTGAAATCAGAATCAGGGTAGAGGGGAGGCCTTGGCAAGGATCGGGCGTGAGAGAAGTTACAGCTGGAGAGAGACTACAGGATGCTGGGCAGAGCAGGCGGGATCGAGGTTGTTGGTTTTCAGACTTTTCCGAGTCACTTCCCCTTTTGAAAATCTGATGAAGTCTATGAATCCATTTCACACAAAGAGGCACAGATAGACATTTGGCACTCAGTTTCAGCCAGTTCCTTGACCCTGAGAAGACAATAGGGGCCAGGCTCAAAACCCTTGAATCAACTGCAAATCGAAAACTTAGCCTGCATGGCAGGGCCTGGAATGTCACACTTTCTTTTACATCCCCCCCAGGGTAGGATCTTTGCAAAGGTTCTCCAATACTTCTATGACTCTACAGATAGGCCTCTTTTCATGAGAGATGGCCCATTTCCTATGACTTAAAAAAAAAAAGAGATACAGATTATAAACTGTTGAGACTGTGGCACTATTAACATTCTGGGCCAGATACTTCTTTGGTGGTGTGTGTGTGCTGCTATAGGGTGTTTCACAGCACCCCTGGCCTCTATCTGCCAGATTCAGGCCTGCAGCCCTCTCCCTGCCCACCTCCCACCCCATCCTGATAATCAAAAATGTCTCCAGTCGATGCCCAATGTACCCTGGGGAGAGAGTTAAAAATGCTCCAGTTGAGAACCGCTGAGTCCAGCCGCCCAGCCTGAAGCCCACGTGAGGGGCCTCAGACGGTTCTGCTGCTTTCTGTCTGACATTATCTTTGGGCAGCAAGGGGTCGGTCGCCTCTTTAGCTTAGTGTGCTGTGTCTGGGCTTGGCGGTGCCTTCTGGGGAACAAGCAGGGAAGTGAGCGGGGAAGAGGACAAAGCAGGGAACTGGCAGCTGAGGGACAGTGTCTGCTTTGGCCGACTATGATATGTGAAGAGAGACGTCGAGTCCCCAGAGAGTGTCCCTGGGGGACTGTGAGGTTCCCTGTCCGCAGGCCACAGAGACCCTCCCTCCCTCCCTTTGATACATGCCAGGCACTGTCAGCCTCCGCTCAGCTGTTCCCGGGGCAGCTTTCCCGAGTTCCCCTTGTCAGACAACAGATCACTGCTGCTGAGGCCTTGAAGGCTTGGTTGTCAAGGAAACAGAATCCTTGAGTAAAATGCTGAACGGGGTAGATTTGCTTTCTTTTATGGCTGACTGTCAGCTCTGGGAACCTCTTTCCTGTGGAGGAGGGGAGCGTGGAGGCAGAAAGCAGGTCACCCACTCTGACATGGGGGTGCAGAGACACTGGAGGCCACCCTATCTGCAACCCCAGCTGTGTGTGTGTGTTGGGGATAGGGCAGAGGGACCTTAACGTCAGCAATTTGGGAGGAGAGCTGGGGAACCCTTGCCCGACCCTGGGGTGATGGCTGGGATGACTTCCAAGAGGGTGGCCAGATAAGCCTTGCCCCTGAGGAGGACCTCATCCTCCTGCTCCAGGACCCTTTCCTGCAGACGCTGGCGGTCGTCTCAGCCCAGAGCCCGAGTGAGCATGAGACCGAGGTGGGGCTGGGCAGGGGCTGGGCCTGCCTGCTGCTTACACTGTCTTCTCTCTCTCTCCACAGCTGTCTTTCTCCTGTGTGTGCGCTCTGGCTGCCGTGCAGTGTTAAGAAGAGCAAACAACCATGGTTCTCGTGCACGCGGGGCCCTCCCCTTGCTGCGTCTTCTGCAGCATCACCCCCTGTCTGAGTGTCCCCTGTTGTCCTGAGTGCTCCCGTCCTGGGAGGAGAGGGCCTGGGAGATGGGAAGCGTCTCCACAGGCCTTGTGCATGCAGGGGGTTGGGTTTTTGTCTCTGTTCAGAGAACTCATGGTGCCCGAGCTAGTCTGAAGAGAGAGGTCATTGCTGAGAATGAGTGAATTCTTGAAAAGATGTTTTCCTTAAATAGAAGCAAATAACCCATCAAGCCTAAGAAAGGAGGCTGTTAGGTTGGTGGGTATCTAGGGCCCTGGTGACCCACTTGCTAAGGCTGCCAAGTCCTGGGAGGAGCCAAGCCCTGGACATGTGTCCTCTCTCCGTTCTGAGGCCCCCAGCCCCTCCACCCAGGAAGAGACGGGGCAGGGGGCTGCTTTGACAGGGTCACCACTGTCACTTAGGGAGGAGGGTGGTGCTGTGTCCTGAAGAGACCTTCGACATCGGCTGAGCCCCACTCTGCCATTCCCTGGCCGTGTGGTCTCGGGCATGCTCTCGAGCCCTATGTAATCTCAGTTTCGTCATCTATAAAATGGATAATCGCAGTAGTTCCTTCCTCCAAGGACTTAATAGGAGGATCGTTTGCATGAAGTGTCTAGAACAGTAATCAACAGGCAGAGAGCGCCACAGACAGAAGCTGTCCTTGTTATAGCTGTCACCACGTTGTGAGAGAGAACTTACGGGGCCAGTAGACCTCAGACCCCATTTTCGGGGGCCATGCCTGGCCAATTTCCTCTCTGTCCTCATCTCATCTCATACTTCTGTCCTGGTTGGAGCTGGAGGGAGGAAGAAGCACAACAACTCTGGCCTCTCTGCACACCGACCTTGGCCTCTCTGCATGGACTCTAGCCTCTCTGCCCTGTCCAGTCAGCACTACTAAGAACAGCGTGGAGTCTGCTCTGGCGTGTCCTCAAGTCTTTGAGTAAAAGGCAGAGGCTTGGCCCCGTATTAAATACTGTGTTCTGCAGAGCGCTCAGCCTGGAGCCCTCAGTGAGCGAATGCCCCCACCCCCTGTATGCTCATGTCAACAAGGGACGAAGTGTTTTCTTTATAAGGTCCCCTGCGGGGATGTGGTTGGCTGCGTCCAGACACAGAGCTGAGTGTGTCACACCTCGTAACAGCTCAGTGAGACTCACAACAGCCGTGTGAGGTCAATAGTGGTGTTAGCGTCCCTATTTCATATATTTCATAGTTAAGGAAGGAGGCCGGGAGAGATAAAGAAGGTAACTCCTCCAAGGACGCACAGCTGGGACTGGTGAAGCCGGGATTTGAACCACAGCCGATGGCCACAGCGGTCACTGTCTATCCTGCGTGACCTTTTCTAACACCCACTGTGCTGTGCCCAGGGCCAGCTTCACAGGCAGTTGCTTGTTAGTCGACTGGGACACTGTGCTAAGAAGGGCCTTTGCTTGGTTTAATGTTCTGTCGTCAACTTGGAATTCTTATTTTTCATCTAGATGAGGTCTCTGCATTTTCACTGTGCTCTGAGCCCTGTAAGTTGTAAGCAATCCCGCCTTCTCTCCCCGATTGGGAAGCCCCTGGCAGGACGGTTGCTTACTTGAGAGGATGGCAAGCAGGAGGCCTCATCTCCCTGGACGGAGGCCCCTCTGCCTGTCCTCTCCCGCTTTGCATTAACCGCCTCCTTTCTGACCTTCCTAGTGTCTGACTTCAGACCCCTCTCTGCTCTGGGTGGCCTCACAGCCAGGGTCCTGCTTTTGTTCCTCCACTCGCCCCTCCTTCCACCTGTATTTCTTTGCAGATTCCTGCCTGGCTGCCCTGTCCCAAGGTCCCTGCTTGTCCTTTGCCTGGGCGCCCGTGCTCCTGCCTGGCCATTGAGCTGTGTAAACAAGTCCAGATCTTGTCCCTATTTGGGCAGCTCTGCAAGAGAAAGCTTAGCAGTCATTAGAATTCCAAGAATGCCAAGTATTGAAAGATTCCTTGGGCAGAATCTTCCTCCAGTAGCAAAGTGTGTCACCAGGATGAAGAATAAAAAGAAGTGGCTTTGCTCCAGGAGGCCCAGCTGCTGAGAGGGAAGGGATGCGTGTGAGTTCTACTTTTAGCATGAGGTGGTTTTCTATGAATTGCTTAGATATTTAGGTGTATCTTTTAATAACATTGCTTAGATATTTCTTATGGCCTTCGGGTAAGGAATAATCACATTGAAAGGAAGTTTGCAAGATTTAGCAAATAAAAAATACAGAATTCCCAGTTCTCATTTTCAGATAAACAATGAATGATTTTTTTTCCCCCTGGACATCCAGTATTTTACCTCGCAAGGAGGGCTGAACCCACACTGGCGCATGCTTGGCGGCAGCCACTGTGGGTGGGGTTGCTGCTGTGTTCCATTTGTCTCTTATCTTATTTAATCCTCCCTTTTTTCTATTGTCTTTTTACCAATGAGAAATCAGAGGCTCTGAGATACCAAGTCACTCATCCAGGATCACATAGTCAGTAAGTGATAGAACCAAGAGTTTAACCTTTGTCTGACCCCTAAACCATTCCCTGGACAGAGAGAAAATTGTCTCTTTACCTTTTAGAAAAGTCCAGAACCTTTCCCTTCATTGCCCCAATGCATACCCAGCTCCCAAGAAGGGCAGAGATACCCGTATGTTAGTCTACACAGCCAATCCCATGGATAGCTTTTTTTTTTTGAGACAGGGTCTTTTTCCATTACTCTTCATAGAGTATAGAGTATCTGCTATGGTGTCAGCCTATTTCAGTCAAACTCTTGGGCTAGAGTGATCCTCCTGCCTCAGCCTCCCAAGTAGCTGGGACTACAGGTACACACCACTCTGGCTGGCTAGTTTTTCTTTTGTTGTTGTTGTTGTTATTTTATAAAGACAGGGTCTTACTCTGTTTCTCAGGCCTGACTCAATTTCCTGAGTTCAAGCAATTCTCCTGTCTCGACCTTCCAGAGTGCAAGGATTATAGGCGTGAGCCACTGTACCCAGACAAGACAGCTATTTTTAAAGCTAGAAATAAAAGCTAAAATTCATACAGGCAATCCACGCTAGAGGTGGGGAAGCCTCAGATTCAGCTGAATCCTATTATTAGAGAGCTTGCCATAGCCTGATTCACAGGAGATAGCTGGCGATTCTGGGAATCCCAAAACAAACGGTGAACTACACCACACAGGCAGAGCTCTGAAAAGGCAATAAAATCAAATGAAGAGAATAAAAATATAAAAAGTATAAAGCCCCAAAGACTGAGATGATGATTCCAGAAGCAAATGCATTAGATCCTGAGAGGTAGAAGAGAAGTGAATGTGTGTGACTGTGGCTTGCAGGCGTAGCTTCCTGGGGGGCCCAGAGCACACCAGGACAGACAGGACCCACTTCTTGCATCTGTGTGTGTCCACTCAGGAGTCTTGGTAATGTCTCTAGTGGCCCGCAAATAGGAAGTCTGACCGCGTGGGGACATTTTGACACTGGCTGTTGAGCATGGGCCAAGCAGGATTTCATCTTCACCATCATGGGTATTAATGAGAGAGTGTTTTCTGTGTTCGAATTTCATCTCATGATTGGGGCTCTGGCTCTCTTTTTGTTTTAATTTTAAATTAAATGACTGGACTGGGTTTCTGCCTCTCTTGGGTCACTCCTCAGCTTTGTAAAGGACAGAACTGGGATCGAATCTGGCCTCCACCAATTACTGACAGATATTGAGAAAGTTACCCACAGCCTCTCAGAGCCTTGGTCTCCTCTGCTGAACATCAGTATAATAAAATCTTCCTTCCTTAAAGTTTGTAAAGGGTCAAAGAGGTGAACGCTGCTTTGTGATAGTTGTTCCACCGTTATTATTATGCGACACTCCAGCTTCTTCTTTGAGCAGAGGGCCTGGGCCAGCAGATACTATTCTGAATAATTCACTCCAGCAAGATCCCAACAAAAGGAAGTGATTATACAGAATTAGATTAGAATGTGAGTCCACTCTGGCTCCAGGGTCTTTTCCGACCTGAAATGCACATCTCCTACAACAGTGGCTTAGGTTGGGAGACAATGGGAACAAATAATAATAAGTGTGGTTGCCAAAACATTTGAATCATTTGGGGAGTGTTTTCAGTTTTTTTAAGTGGGAAAAATTCTATTAAATTTAGAAAAAGTCCCCACTTTTCTAGGCCTTGAAAGCACCCTGAAGTCATCCTTCACTCGATATTTATTGAGCATCGAGTCTGTATCAGACATCAGGCTAGGAAAGAGAAATATTTTCTCTGTTCTTCATGGTGCCATTATGTTGATTCATATTAATAAATAGATAATTAAAATTGCGATGAGTGCTACAAAGGAGAAATTCAGGTTGTGTGGAGTCTAAAACAGAGAGACCCAGCTGGGTTTTACCTTTCTGAGATAATTCTCCCTACTCCTTCATGCTGGAAAAGAAATTATATAAAAGTAATTCAGGGAAGCAAAAGTGAAACCCAGCATGGATTAGGAAAGTGAGGCGAACAGATAACATTCCACATTGAACTCTGCTGCATTCCTGGTCAGTGGGGTCACGGGCCATTGTTTATTTTGCTAATGGTCAAAAGGAAGTGTTATTCTTGGACTTGTGACTCATTTCCAAGTGAAGACTTGGCTGGGTTTTAAGCAACCTGGATATTAGAAACCAGGAATCAAGAGGCTCTGCTTGAAGTCTAAGAGTCGGCACCAGCCAGCGCCTGGACACAACCAAACCTGTGAAAACCAAGATGGGAATCACCACTGTGGCCAACCTCAGAGAGTTATATGGGGGCAGAAATGTGGCACCAAGGAAGCACATCCAGCTCAGATTGTAGATGATCTCTGTGTTTTAGCTGGAAATAGATCTGAATGGTTCTCAGGAGCTCCTAAGAGCCCGAACAAGGAGCCTTTCTCAGAGCCCTCCTTTCTTTGTCATAACCCAATAAGTTTGGAGAGAAGCCACCTTGAAGCTCATCCCAGCATGAACCTGATGGAGCAGCTTCAGTGAGGGGATGGGTGTGATGCGATCTTCCCTTTGTAGCTCAACTCTGGGACTCAGCCTGCAGTGGATGCTGGTCTCAGGGTAATTGTGGGCTGTATCTTTGGCAACATGGCTTCTTTTGTTTTTTCCCAACTTGTGGTATGGATCAAGTTGTTATGAATACCTGAGGAAAGTATCTCATCATTCTTTCAGGCATCTTCCCCACAAGCAAAGAAAAACACACACTGAGGCTCCATGCTAGTTTCTCCATCTTTTTCTCTCTTTTCTTACTTCCAACGGAATCTTTATTTCTCACCCTACAGATCATTCTGTAGGCACCATGCTAGATTGAGACCAACCCCAAACTTAGTCTTTAATTCATCTTGGCTTTTCGGAGAGCAATATGAAGTTACAGTGGTAAATTATACTTCTTCTCTTACCCAAATCCCTTACTCAGTATTATTCTCCAGTGGTTACATGGAATAGATTGGAGGACAGGGCTAATGGAAAACTCTACCTTTTAAGTAAGAAAATATGGGCAGTTTTCCCATGCAGAGTGATTTTAATTTTTCAAATGGGGTATTTGAACTGTAGTGATTTAATGACATCTGCTTAATGGTTTTGCTTCTTTGTTTTACAGAAAGAAACAATCACTGCTGTCAAAAAAGAGGTAATTAGTCTTCCAGTTCCAGTGAAGTCTGATTTTAAATTTTCTAATAAATTATGTGTACACTGGCTTTATGCTCTGCACTCGGTAATGCAATGAAAACCATGTGTAATGTTTAAACAATTGTTTCTGAATTAATGGACAGCAGAGAATGATAATGTGAAACACTCCTTGAAGGCGTAGAGATGAGGGATGACTGGAGAGGACAGTGGAAATGAATGATGGGGGTGGGGGACCTACATCCCCTGCTTGGCCTCTGCTCCTACAATTATAGGGCATTCAGCTGCTACCCAAGGGGCAAATGACCTGTTTTGGCAAATCTTCTATTCAGGACCCAAGATAAATCCCTGGGAAGCATCCTATTGAGATGGGATGTGTCAATTGATACCTAAATGGGAAAAGCCAAGCATCTGTCCCCATGTCTCAGTTTGAGGCTCTTTTGAACATGTTTTCTGCTGATCCTATTTTTTCATACCAACACATGATTGATGGGTTGAGGTCACTAACTTTCAGTTTGGGGTGAGCTGTCTATGGGGCCCTGAGTCCTGTTGGTACTGAGGAAGCTGGCTGGAGGGGATGGAGTGGGCTGTCATTGGATAAATGGCTTCTGGCTGTAGAGGCCATGTGTGTTAGTGTTGGTGACACTCAAGGGTGGGGGAATTGGGCATCTAACGACTGTGTCTCTTTCAGATCATGTATTACCAACAGGCCTTAATGAGGTCTACAGTGAAGTCTTCAGTGTCCCTTGGAGGGTATGTTTCTGATTTCTTGGTCTTGCTGAAGCAGGGACAGGCTAGAAGAGAATGTCCAGTCACAGGCTGACTGATTTAGGATCCTGAAGGCCTGAGAGAGACAAAACCAGGGGGGTTAGTTCCTAGTTCTTCACTCAGAATCTGAGTCTCTAGGTCTCATCTTGGTTTAGGCAAAATCAGAGGTTGGTGAGGGGCCATAAAAGCCTGTCATGTTTCTTGGAATCCACTAATCTGCCGATGGGGAGGGTGGGAAGACTTGAAAATC